GGGTCATACACAACTGGGTGCTTGACATCTGCACTTAGATATTTAATAGACACCTCAAATTCAATGTGCCCTAAATGGCATTCCCTTGGGCTTCTTCCCTTCAACCTTTCCCATCTTAGTCAATGACAACTACATTTTTCCATTTGCTTACATGGAGTCATCCTTTGTTCTTCACTTTCTCTCATACTCTAGGTCCAATCTACCTAGACATTCTATTCTCTCCACCTGGAAAATATATCCACAATCTACCACTCCTTGTCTCCAACACTGTTGCAGTACTGGCCTGTGCTATTATTTTTTCTTGCTTGTAATAGCCTCCCAACTGGTCTCCTGACTTCTATGCTTAGGGCTTTATAATTTATTTTCAGCTTAGGAGTCCATAGTCTTTAAAAAATGTAAATTGGATCATATTGCTTCTCTGCTCTAACCCTGCATTGGCTCCCACTTTCCCCCAATCCTATATAATAAAAGGCTAATATGCAAATCAACCAAATGGCATAACAACTGGTTGCTATGATGCACACTGACCACCAGGGGGCAGATGCTCAACACAGGAGCTGCCCCCTGGTGGTCAGTGCACTCCCACAGCGGGAGCACTGCTTAGCCAGAAGCCAGGCTCATGGCTGGCGAGCACAGCGGCAGTGGCAGGAGCCTCTCCTGCCTCAGCAGCGCTAAGGATGTCTGATTGATGGCTTAGGCCCGCTACCCGCTCTGTGTCGGACATCCCCCGAGGGCTCCTGGACTGCGAGAGGGTGCAGGCCGGGCTGAGGGTCCCCCCTGAGTGCACGAATCTCTGGGCCTCTAGTTAAAAAATAAAGTCATTACAATGTCCCAGAAAGACTATTTAGTTTCCTAGGGCAGCTGTAGCAAAGTACCACAAACTTGATCGCTTAAAACAACAGAAATGTATTCTTTCATTGTTCTGGGGCTGGAAGTATGAAATCATGGTGCACTCTCTTCGGAGTCTTTAGGGGAGAATGCTTCCCTGTCTCTTCCAGCTTCTGGTGGCTATAGGTGTTCCCTGGCTTGTGGCTGTATCACTCCAATCTCTGCTTCTATTTTTGCGTGGCCTTTTTCTCTTCTCTCTCTTATAACAGTACATATTATTGTATGTAAGCCCATGAGGATAATCCAGGATGAGCTCATCTTGAGATCATTAATTTATTTGCATAAGCAAAGACTCTTTTTCCAAATAAGGTCACATTTACAGGACCTAACGGGTTAAGATGTGGGTATATATTTTGGGGGTCTACCATTTAACCCACCAAAAACCCATCAATTATAAACCCCTGTTACCTCTTGGATCTCTTGTTCTATCACTCTTTCCTTTGTTGCAAACTAGACTGGATTCTTGGATTTTTCTCAAATATGATAGGCATGCCTGGATTAGGCTTTCTCACTGGCCATTTCCTCTGCCTAGGACCTCTTCCTCCAGATATCAACCCATCTCACTCCCTCATGTTACATTCTCATGAGGTATCACTTCATTACTGTATTTGAAATTGCAGTGTTCAACTTCCTTTTCACCCTGCTCTTACTTTATATTTTTTCCTCATTCTGGTTGAATGGGCAATTCTGCTTTGTGTAGTGCTAGCTGGGGTATTAGGAATGCTTGAAGGTCAAAAGGTCTCACCCATATGTCTGGAAGTTGTTTCTGGCTGCCAGATGGGAGTTCAGTTGGAGCTGTGGGCAAAGGGTCTTGGTTCTCCATGTAGCCTCTCTGTGTAGCTGCTTGGGCTTCCTCACTGGTTGGTGGCTGAGTTCCAAGAGGGAGCATGCAAAGAGGAAGGAAGTAGAAGCAGTCAGTCTTCTTAAGGTCTGGGCTCAAAAGAATCAGAATATTACTTCTACTGTATTCTTTTAGTCAAAGTAGTTGCAAGGCAGTCTAGAGTCAAGAAGAGGAAAAATAAACTCCACCTCTCAGTTGGAAGAGTATGTTTGTACATAAAGGCAAGAAACTTGTGTAATTGTCTTTGGAGTATTTATGGTAACTATCTACCACATGGAACTTCCTGCGTCATTAATATATCATGCATGGTGTGGCTGCCAACCAAAATGGACATCTTTTTTTTTTTAAGTTTTTTTTTTCTTAATTTGTTTGCATTGAATTTTTTAGAGGGAGAGGAGAGAGAAACATTGATTGGCTCCTCCTGCATGCCCCCCTACTGGGAATTGAGCCCACAACCTGGGCATGTGGCCTGACCTGGAATTGAACTATGACCTCCTGGTTCATAATTGAAGCTCAACCACTGAGCCATGCTGGCCAGGCTAAAGCACTATGTTTAAGAAGGGGAGGATTCCTATTGTGCTGGAAACTTTAATGACTGCTAAATCTTCAGCTCCAGAGTGAGGACCAATGTGTTAATTTAGAAATCCTCCTTAGGAAGAGCTGCCTTCAGTGGCTCACAAGTCAATCTGGAGTCCTGAGTAAAGCCACACCAACAGGCATACTTACCTCATCTCCCTTTCCTCTCTTCTTTCCTCTGTGACTAGGAATATGCATATTCTTGAAAAACTAACCAGGTTGCCACTTGGGTTTCTCTGCTTTGTCACACATAACTCATTTAGTGTTCTCTCACATATCCTGCTTCCCATCCATTAGTCCACATTCTCCATTAAGGTGGTGTGGGTTTGAATTTTTATTTTTCTTATTCTATGTACATCCAAGATATTTGGTTGTGAAGTGAATATTCAGGGTAGGTACTAAACAGACTTACAGTCTGGGGTCTTGAATATTCCACTTTTATCATACATAGAAAATTCACAGAATATAATTCATTGAGGACTCACCTCTATCATGTGGTCCTTTCTTACCTCTCTGACTTTTAAGATGCAGAAATGGAGCACCAACTCTAAGTGATTCTGGTATTGTTGCATTGTTTTAATTACCTGAGAGCAAAAATAAGCAGCCATAAGTGGAACTCATTTAAAATACACTCAGGAGTTTCAGGGTTTTTTTTTTTCCAGATTAAAAACAACAAAAATTGACACCAATCATAAAAACGTTAAAAAAGGAAAACATTTTCCAATTAATATTTTATGCTGTGATGCACCGAGAAGCACTTCAGTTTTTGGTAAATGGAGGAGGAATGAAACTGGAATCATGAGGGGGGTTGTTTCACTTCAGGCAGATTATTAGGAGTAAAGGAAAAATTAAAATAAGAGTATTTGCCGAGCAGTAGTATAGTGCATTATCCTCCATCAAGATTGAATCCAGGCCACATGACTGCTTTTTGTGATTACGGACACATAGAGTCTCTCTGAGCTTCATTTTCCTCATCCATAAAGTGGGAATGATAATGATAATACCTGCTCTACCTCACATGTGGCCCAGGGGAGAGATACTGTGTGTGTGAGAGTAGAAAGTACTTTATTAAACATGAAGCATCAGGTATACCAACACATTATAGGTATCAGTACAAGAAAAACGTTTTAGTTTTTATTATTTGTTTAGTTTAGTGACAGAAATTATTCTAGCCCTTCAAAAAATATGTACTGTTTATAAATTTTTGGTACTTATTATTGCTTTTTTTGTGGTAGACAAAAGTGTTTCAAAAATATACTTTCTGGATTACAAAGAGGTCAATTAAAATTAGAAATGCAAATATTATATATTAAAATGTACAGTGTTCTCCATGAACTGAATGTTTTCATGAAAATGCAAGTTATTCATGTCTAATTGATTTTTAATTCCTCATTGTGATATGTAGAAAATGATAAAAATTAGTATTTGCATTTTAAAGAATTTGGATTGTGGAAGGAGTTAAGTAGTGAATTACTGAAGGGTACCAACCAAATTGGCAGTCTCGTTGGGGCTGTTCAGAAATAAAATGGAACAAAAAAATGAAATGCATTGGTGCTTTAATAAATTCAAAGATGAGTTCTTGATTATTTTATGGGGAATGAATTCTATGCATCCCTGGAGGCCTCCAGTCAGCACTTGCCTCCACCTCACAAAGAACAGCAAACAAAGCACACTTGCCTCCAGACATCTTGGAGCAGAGCGCTGTGGTGTCCGGGGTGAGGCACTGCTGAGCTATGATGTAAACACAAATTTGTGAAGGTCTTCCTACACCCTCCCCTTATCTCTCTTTATAGCGTACTATCTCTCTTGAGTATGTTTTACTCCTTGACATCACTTAGGAGGTTGTGACATTGAGAACAGGGGCTGTCCACCTAAGTCTCCAATTGAAAGGATGTCCCTAGAGCAGCCGTTGGTGGTGGCGGAGTTAAGTCCCAGCTCTCCACCATCCACCACATCCTCTCAGCTCCTGAGAACCCCTATACTCCTGAGTTCGGTTGTGCCCCTTCATGTGTGGGCAGAATCTCGTCCTCTGACCTAGGCTAGTAACTGTACAGATGTTTTTGTCCTTGATGCCGTGTTACCAATGCCTTCTCTTACTGCCCTCCTTCCTGTGCTTTACTGACAGTAAGGAATTTTAGTCAAAACAAAGCACAGGGTAGGTGGGAGGTATTTGTGGGAGTAATGTTAAGGACTTCAGTACAAACTGGATAGTTCTGGTTCTCCTACTAATTTGTTAGCTTCTGGAGGGCAGGAAGTTTTCTTTTAATCTATATATTCCTCATACTAAGTGGCACGGTGCTTTGCATATTGTTGATGATGAATATTATGGAATGGATCGTGCTTCTCTAAGTTGTGTAGCAGTACTTACGAGTGAGGTTAAACACTTCGTTTTTGGAGTCAGATAGCTTGGGTGGATTCCTGGCTGTGCCATTTAATAGCCTGTGACCTTAGGCAAGTCACCAAACCTCCTGGACTTCCTCATCTTGAAAATGGGTATAATAATACCAAATACCTCATACACTGTTGTGGGCATTAACTGAATTGATATACATAAAGTTGAAACATGCTTAACAAGTGATAAAAGCTCCATACATGTAAACTGTTTTATTATTATTATTAGCACTTTACCGTTTACAGAGGGCTCTTCCATATAGCAACTCATTAAATTCTCACAAGAGTCCTGTGAAATGTGGACATATATCTTTACTCATTTTGCAGTTGGAAGGACTAGATCTTACAACTGATCAGAGATTGCATAATGGAGGTTTGGGAAGCAGGCGGGTTGGGAGACACACACACAAATCTAACCTCCAAAACCAATGGTCTTGTTACTGCCCTGTCTCAACCATCATGCTCTCTCTATCATACGAGAAACATTTAAAAATACATGAATATTCAATTATATTGTTATAGGGGAGAATCACAGAGGAGTCAGAACATTGGCTCCTGAGATCTCACTGGGAGCCCACAGTGATTTAACTCAGCATGGTCTAGGGCAGCGGTTCTAAACCTGTGGGTTGCGACCCCTTTGGCGGTCGAACAACCCTTTCACAGGGGTCGCCTAAGACCATCCTGCAAATCAGATATTTACATTACGATTCATAACAGTAGCAACATTACAGCTATACAGTAGCAACATTACAGCTATGAAGTAGCAACGAAAATAATTTTATGGTTGGGTCACAACACGAGGAACTGTATTTAAAGGGCCAGAAGGTTGAGAACCACTGGTCTAGGGAAAAATGGTAGAGATGGTGTGAATTAAAGGAGGTGGCCCATGTCCCTGCAGATGGATAGATGTAGTGGTGGGTCCTACAAGATGGAACTATTCTCAGAAATGATGGAAACCAAGGTGAACCTTAAAGGAATCTCATTCCTGGGGCATTGGGCAGAGAAAAGACCAGTGACTGTACAGATATTTTTGTCCTTGATGCCATGTTACCAATGCCTTTTCTTACTGTCTCTCCTTTCTGTGTCTAGTGCCTGATTTAGTACTTTGCATATAGTAGGTGCTCATTTAATAATAGCTGAACAAAAACACAAATGACTGGCATGTATATGGGTACCAAAATAATACAAAAGAGCTGTGAAATTAGAAGTACATTTACATTTTACATAATCCCTGGTAAAAGATTTGCTTAGAGGAAGAATTAGGCATCACTACTAAAACCAGCCTTTGGAATTACCAATGGACTTAATGGATGCCTCCCATCCTGCTTCACCATTAGATTAATAACAAGCAAATGACTGACTTTTTAAAATATAAATATTTACCCAATTTAATTTTGCAAGATGCACCCCACCCAGTAATCCCAGTCCCTTTTACCCTACCTTACTTTTCTTTGTGTAGAACTCCCTACCTCCTACCACAAAATATAATTTTTTATGTTCATTATTGATCATTTAACTGCCACCACCAGAACTCTACCTGCTTGAGGACAGGAACCTTTGCCTGAGCATTAATTTACCTCAGGGTCCCAGGAAAGATCCTGGAATGCATTAGTGCTCAATAAATATATTTTGAATGAGCATTAATGACTCCTTTCTATGTACAAGACAATGTGAATGCTATTGTATATAGGATTAAATAATCAATGAAAAGCTGTTTAAATGAATGTATGTATATATGTACATTTTAAGATATCAAATATATATATATATGTATATTAGAGGCCTGGTGCATAAAATTCATGCACTCGGGGGGGAGGGGGTGTCCCTCAGCCTGGCCTGCACCCTCTCGCAGTCTGGGAGCCCTTGAGGGATGTCAGTCGGACATCCTTAGTGCTGCCATGGAGGTGGTAGAGTCTCCTGCCTCTGCCGCTGTGCTTGCCAGCCATGAGCCCAGCTCAGGGGTTCTGGCTGAGAGGCGCTTCCCCTGTAGGAGCGCACTGACTACTGGGGGCAGCTCCTGTGTTGAGCATCTGCCCCCTAGTGGTCAGTGCATGTCATAGCAACTGGTCGTTCTGCCATTCGGTTGAATTGCATATAAGCCTTTTATTATATAGGAGATATATATCTATAATAATAAAAGTGTAATATGCTAATTAGACTGGACAGCCGAATGACCTTCTGGACATCCTTCTGGATGGAGCTGTGGCTGCGAGGGCCAAGGCAAGCCACCGCAACTGTGAGGGCTGAGCCCCTTGCACGAATTTCGTGCATCAGGCCTCTAGTATATATATAACTTAAACAAAGGGCAGTGCTCATTTTGACCAGTCTTGACCTACTCAAAGTGCATCTTTGCTCCCCTGGGTCCCCCCACCCTGTGGATGACACACTCTAGGGTGTGCAGGTCACCTTTGCAGGGCCTCACCCAGCCTGCTTCCTGCCCCTCCCTCGACCCTCCTTCCCATGCTCTAGATGTCCGCAAACAAACTAGAAGTCTGAAGGCAGCATCTGGCCTGCACATGTTCATTGTTGGGCTTGCTAGGAGTTGGAAAATTTTTTCAGTGAATTGCCAACATTTAAAAATCTGGAGAATTCTCATAAATATCCAGATTTCCGCTTTCTCTTGCAAAGCCTAAGAGTATCTGTCGACACTGGGCTGGCATTGCCACCCGGCCTTGGTAGGCTGGGGCTGAGCAGCAGCTGGCCCGCAGATAAGGCGTGTGCCCTTCTAGTTACCAGCATCCCAGCCCTGCTCATCTCACCCACTCACCACTCTGCCTGGCCCTGGAGGGGCTGGGTTTGCAGCCCCTGCCCCATCTCCAAAGATAGGAATTTGATACTGCTGCAAGCTGCTGGGAAGACGGGACTATATAGCTACACACACTTTTTACAGCTGGAGTCCATCCTGTGTATAAAAACTTGCTAATTCAGAAAATGGGCAAATACTCTTTTAACAAATACTTAGCTCTGACTGCCCTTTGTCCAAGGTTTGCAGTTTCTTCACTGCCCCTCAATACAATGTGCTCATTAGCTAAATCTCAAAAATAGTGTTGTTTCTCTTTGAGGAAAAACATGCCATTAAGGAATAATGGCTCAGCATGCCACAAAACTTCTTCCTGATGAGTTTCCTTTTTTGGAAGATAAGCCTGCCACTTGAGCTTGTTCGAGTTTGTTTATTAGGCAAGCGTGCCTTTTTACTTTTAAAATAATCCCCCATGTATGTCACTTTGGACAAAATAGCACCACAGGCTGCCTCACTCTGTTATCACAGAGGAATTATTGTCTGATATATGAAGGCAGGGAGATGGAGCCCAGCACACTTGTTGATCCAAATGAAAATGCATCAAAAGAAAGCAGATATCTCACTGTTAGTGGATGAAAGGAAACCACTCCTCTTGCTTCTCCACTCTGGAAAGAGAAAACATGATGTGAATAAATCTCCTTTGGTTGTTTTTCCATTGTTTGCTTTTTTCTTCCTGCTGTTCCTGCTGACAAGGATGAAAAACTATAATGTGAGAGCTAATTCATGTCAGGTGCTACTGAGCCATCCATAGGAAAGCATGTAAATTTCCGATGCTTTGAAATGGCATTGCTAAGCAATTAATTAAAATGTTGTCACTGCTACCCTGAGTGCAGTTTAAATAACCCAGCACTCAGTAAAGGGTAGTCAGTTTTAACTAAAAGAGGAAAACAAATGGCTGGAATCATTTGTTTTGAAAACAAAGAACCTGCCGATATGTAATGATCCAGATGCCGGGGCATCTGGAGTGGGCTGGTGGGGAAGGAGGGACCAGGAGGGCCAGAGTGCACTGCCTAGTTAAGGGGCATTGTCCTAGCATTGCGTCCGGATGAAAGTGGCCCAAATCTAGTGAAAAGGATGCCTGGAAATTTCAGTTCCTGTGGGGAATATGATCTGGTGAGTGGGTTGTTGAAGTTAAAATCGCAAAAAAAAAAAAAAAATCTCATGAGCACAGTAGCCAAGGGGTCAGGGCATAGAGTCAGAGGCCCAGGAAGAAGGGGACCACTGGCAAGAGCTAGCTGAGTGTTAGGCCTCAGAGAGAGTTTGAGTGAAACAGGGTTCCAGGTCTTGAATGGGAAGTGAAAGTACAAATCAGGAAACAGGCAATCCAGCTTCCCAGTCCTATGGATTGCACAAACTCAATGTGGGCTGGGAAGGCTGTAGCTCCAGATACTCACGAAAGTCCAAGGGTCGTCTTGGTCACCAGAGAAACATCATAGTAAGGTGAGTTCCAGGCCTTACCAGCTGGTGGGAGTTGTACCTACTGTTATGTTGCCAGTGTTGGCTCCAGGGAGTTAGGAAAAGGTGAGGGCAGGACTGAAAAGGCAAGAGCTTACAGGTACCAGTACTGTCAAGGACATCTGAAAACACACATACACACTCACACATATATACACACCCCTTCTCAAAGGATGCAGTCCAACACACACACATACACACACACACACACACACACACACACACTCCTCACACCCCTTCTGGGAGGATATTCTCTCTCTCTCTCTCTCTCTCTCTCTCTCTCTCTCTCTCACACACACACACACACACACACACACACTCACACACACATTCATACTCACACCCCTTTTGGAAAGATATACTCTAAAATGTTAGCAGTGATTATCATTAGATTGTAGAATTATGAATGGATTTTTTGTTGCTTTCATAAAACTTATTTTTATGTTCCCTTAATTTTTCACCATGAAAATGAAATTACTATGCAAACTTTTATAATAAGGAAAAAAGGTTCTTAAGTTATGTTTCCCTTTAATTGAATTTATATTTGAAGCTGGTTTAAAGGTGGATCCCTTGAAAACAAAAACAAAGACAAAAAAAGAAATGGGGGAAGTTTTTTTCACAGAAAGTCCTGATTATAATTTAATCTTAGTCACATGCTATCCTCAAACCCTCTCTTTCTATACTTCCAAGGTAGAGTGGGGATAAGAAGGGTACAAAAGGAAGGACAGAGGGTAAAATATCATTCTAAAAAGGCCTTGAAATGTTAAATTGGGTAATAAAGTGAAAGCTGTCAAAATAAGAATAAAGTGCTCGTACTTGAACTAAGAGAAACTCTTATCAGTTAATGTTTTAGTCTCTACTTCCAGGAATATGTATGCCTTATTCCCTTTATAGATTTGTTTTTAGTTTTTCAATATGGAAATGAGTATCTTCATAACGTCTTAGTAATACACTATCTAGCTTTCAGGAAATACCAGGCTCTGTTTATTCACTGATTTATAATCTGAAGGAGGCAGAGAGATGCAAAAGCTGTTCCCTGGGGTCTCCAGCCCATTTCCTTCTATTCCTGCTCTTGCTAGAATTGCAGTGTTCAATTATAGAAATGGCAACAATTACTCATAATTATGCTTCTCACATGCAATGAATGATTTCAGATGTTGTTAGCACAGCTCAGTATCTTAGTATTAGCTCATTATGAAGGTTGCCTATCACAATTTATTTGTCATTCAGTTTATGTGAAGAGACTAGAGACTGGCTAATGGATGGATTCTATGTTTAACTTTTTCAAAGGGAGAAAAAAAATCTCTTGTACTTTTGAGAGGTGTAACTATAAGTAAATTGTTCAATCTCTTGGCATCAATGTCCTACTCTGTAAAATGAGTTGGACTTAGTGATTTCTATAAAATTCCCTCTACCTTAAAAAATATATTGATTTTAACTTGCCAACTCTGAAATTATCTGGGGGTGGAAATGGGACGTCTTTTCAGAGGTAGGTAATTCAACTTGTACATGGTGTTGGAAGAAAATATCAGAACCAAGAAAATATTTGATTGGCAGAGAGACATTTCATCTCATTTGAAGATATTTCTCTAACTGCTACCGGTTGCTACTATGGCACATTCCTCCCTTTACTTTTTCCAATAGGGGAAGAGTGATGGGGAAAGGTGGAAGCAGGGAGTGAATGGTTCAGAGTGGGAATATCATTCCAAAGCACTCTAGCTCCAGCCCTGCTGTTGATTAGTTTCTGGTCTTTTCTTCTCTCTTCTAGTTCTTGGGGATTGACTTTTCCTCTTTATAGATTTGACAAAAGTAAAATTTATTTCAGCCACCTACCAGGAAGACAAGAGAAAAACTTACTTGTGAGTGAAAGGATCCTTATTAGAACACAGATATTACACCTACTGGGCGAAGCTCAAGTCTTCCCAACACCACCTATTCTGTCACCACCACACAGCCATTGCACACCTGGAAGCTGGCTGCCAGAGGGCCACCAAGAAAGGCACGTTAGAGGCGGATGCTTGCTGTAGTGCTGGATTCCATCAACACAATCTCTGACCAGGGGACTTCAATCGTTTCTCTTTTTGACCAGTTTCATTTCTGTAGAATTATTAAGGGCTGCCCTCAAAAAGGCTTCTAATCAGATAGTTTATGGAACATTCCTAGCATATGATACAATTGCTCCACTAATCACAGGTGAGCAAGAAGGAAGTAGAGAAATCAGTAATCGGCTAAACTTTAGGGATCAGGAGAAGTCTGGGATTGGCTCTTGCCACTAAAATTCTGATAACACATATTTAATAAATCTCAGGTGGAGCTTGGCCATTTGTCTTATTAAAAAGTTAGAGAATGTCAGGAAATGGCTAAAGGAGAAGGAAAAAGGGAAATGGAAGGTGAGATCTCATAAGCAGGATATCATGGGCTCTAGTTTCATCCCCTGGTACCCTTAGTTCAGTTGTTATTTCTTGGGGAGAATCAAATCTTTGTCTAAGGACCAAGGGGTTTTTAAGCCTCTGTGGAAAGCAGTTTGGTGACTCTTTTAGAAAGTTAAACACAGAATTACCACTGTAATTCCACTCCTAGGTATATACCCAACAAAATTGAAAACAGGTACTCAAACAAACACTTGTACTCGACTGTTCACAGCAGCACTATTCACAATAGCCAAAAGGTGGACACAAATATCCATAACCAATCAACAGATGAGTAAAATGTGGCATGGACACACGATGGAATATCAGTCAGCCATAAGAGCATGAAGTTCTGATACATGCTGCAATGCAGACGAAGCTGGAAAACATTATGCTGAGGGAAATAAGGCAGACAAAAGGTCACATATGGTATGATTCCATTTTTGTGAAATGTTCAGAATAAGTAAGTGCAGATTGGTAGTTCCCAGGGGCTGGAGAAGGGGAGGACAGGGATTGACTGTTGAATAGACACAGAGCTTTCTTTTCGGATAATGAAATTTCTCTTGGAACTACTAGTACATAGAGGTGATGGTTGCACAACAAGGTGAATGCAGTAAATGACATTGAATTATACACTAAAATTAAAAGGAATGAGTGACTTCTCTATATACCAATGTGGATGGAACTCAAAAACATTATTTTGAGCCAGAGCGACCAGATACAACAGTACATACCATATGATTTAAGTCAAAACTGTGGTTGCTTATGTGGGGGTTGACTGGAAGGGAGCATGAGAGAAGTTTCTGAGGGGATAGAAATTTCTGTATCTTGCTAGGGTTGTGATAATATAGATGTATGAATATATTTGTGAAGACTCATTGACATATGCACTCAAGTCCTGTGCATTTAACTGAATGTAAATTTTATCTCAAATAAACAAAATTCGAGAAAAAAATGAGCAAAAAAAGGCCAAAATCCTATAAAATTATGGGCAAAAAACATGAAAGGACAATTCATAAAAATCATGTTTAACCATTTATAATGATATATTAAAATTAAAACTTCACTGAGCTGTTTTTTATCTATCATATTGGCAAACATTTAAAAGCTTGATATTATACTCTGATGTAAGTGTGTGGGAAAACAGTCAGTCGTATACATTGCTATGGTGAGAAATTTGGCAATATGTAACAAAACTACATATGCTTTTACCCTTTAATCTAGCAGTTTTACTTCTAGGAATGTATCAGTTTTAGTCAGTTGGGGTGGCTTATAAACAATAGAAACTTATTTCTCACAGTTCTGGAGATTGGAGGTCTGAGATTAGGGTGCAGCCTGGTCTAGTGAGGACAGACATCTGTATCCTCACGTGGAAGGGACTATAGAGACCCGTGGTGTCTCATTTATAAGAGCACCAATCCCATTCATTAGGGCACCACCCTCATGACCTACTCACCACTCAGAGGCCTCACCTCCTAACACCATCACATTGGGTGTGAATTTGGGGGGAAGATAACCATTCATTACTCATGAAACACACCCCTAGTATACAAAACTGCGCACACAACAGGTTATTCATTGCAGCATTACTTACAGTCCATTTTTCTCCTGGGATCAACCACAACCTCAGGTATCCTTCTACCAACACTCCAGCATGCTCTGTGCTCATTTTCACCATCCAACCATCATGACCAGGTGATTCCCATTTAAACCAAGTGAGTGCGTCTGACTACACTGGTACCAAACAATGTTTAAACCTTGGACTCACCTTGAGAGTTTGCACATCTAACAGTGCCTAGGCTCCACCCTCAGAGACCCTGATTTGGTCCAACTGGCTCCTGTGTTGTTTGTGACCTGCCCCATCATTTTATTCTGACTTTTCTACTTTCAGCTTCCACAGTGGCTGAGGTGGGGTACAGGAGTCAGCATTTTTAAAAAGCTTTCCAGATGATTCTTTTGTGCAGCCAGGCTGAGGACAATGGGAATGAAAAATAGCAAATATTTCAGGATAGAAAGAAAAGCACAAGAATTCATCAATATTCAAGATCTTAGGAGAAACCAAGATGGCGGCATAGGTAAACACCGGAGTTTGCTGCCTTGCACAACCACTTCAAAAATACAACTAAAAGATGGAACAGACATCATCCAGAACCACAGGAAGGCTGGCTGAGTGGAAATTCTACAACTAGAAGGAAAGAGAAAAGCATACCGAGACTCAGAGGAGGTGCGGTGCGGAAGTAAAATACTAAGGTACAGAGATGTACACGGAGCGGGCTGGCGGCTGAGGGCGCGGTTGTCGTTTTCAATCGGGAGGGAGTCTCAGGCTCTGAGCTCCAGTTCCGGGCGAGTCTCTGGGGACCCAGACTCATACGGGAGAAGCGGGACTGTCTGGCATCCGTCGGAACTTGAGGGCAGCTTTCTCTCGGAGGGGCTTGCAGTGATTACCGGGACATTGAGAAGCGGAGCCTCTGAGAGCAGCCATAACTGCTAGCCCTGCCCTGTTGATCCCGTGGGACCCGCCCCGCCCAAGCCCTGCAGGGAGGCTTTTGCTGGATAGCCTCAGGAAAAGGCTAGATTAGCACCTCCCTAGAGATCCAGGAGCCAGTATACCCAGAGGTC